ATATAAATTCATTTTTTACGAGGCGTCGTCCTCGGCGTCGTCGTCGTCGTTGCTTAAGCTCCCTAATGTATACTAATAGGCCCTTTGCAGGATCCGGTCACATGGTACGGAATTAATTACGCTGGGACGCATATTACACAGTGGGACTTCCAAAACAAAGGAACTCGTACCAGCCCAGCCCGACTTTCCTTTGTTTTGGAAGTCCCACCGAGTAACTTGCGTCCCAGCGTAATTAATTCAGTACCATGTGACCGGATCCTGCAAATGGCCTATTGGGGACACCTAACTACGATTACTTATCTGATAATTAATAAAATATGAAATACATGTACGTATGTAAGTATTTTAAAATATGTATATAAAACAAATAATGAGTCACGTAGTAAGATCAAGTGTTAGTTGTTACATAGAGAACAGTCTCTACAAGTACTGTCCAGCAGGCTCATTTCCTGTCCCGATCGTGTAATCTGTTGTATTCTTTATAAACTTTGTTTTCGAATTAACAATTACGGGCCAGTTTTGCAAATTTTACTGAAAAAGCCCAGGCCTCCTATACTTCAATATACATGTATCAAGTGATCAAAAATGCAACCTTATGTAAAATAACTACGTTGGGTCAGCCGGCTTTTGTCATGCTCATTCACATGATAGTATGCACCTGAGCGAAACAGTTCCTGTTGCTTCCGTTGTCGCTCTAAAGTTAACGTTACGCCGCGTCTTACAACTTTTAGGGAGCTTTTAAAAGCAACGACGTCGACGACGCCGAGGACGACGCCTAGTAAAAAATGAATTCATAATATATGACACTAGCGAAATTCGCGATTTTCTAGAACTGTTCGGTACGCCAATGGCTCTGAAAATGTGCTCAGGCTAAATATGCAATGACAGCGTTCAATTCCAAATGGAAATACGAAAAATTAGCTGTCGTCGTCCACCTTCAGTAGACGACACAGAACGTGGTCATTCCTCGTTGTCATTTTGCAGAGGACGGCAAAGAAATGTACAAAGATTTATAACGCACGTGCACAGCTATTGTTTTGTTCATTAAGCCTTTTGTTGTGTGACGTTCTCGTCGCCGTCGTCGTCGTGGTTTGCTTAAGCTCCCTTTTCACAGCGGTAAAAGACAAAAATTCAGCGCCACTTTCAGTCTCAGTCGCCTCGAAATTTATTGAGAGTTTGAAATACTAATGAGCAAGAGTTATTTCGAAGACAGCTGAGACGTTTATATAAATGTCAGGTTTTTATTAAACTCTCCTGGCTGGTTTTGACAGGCGAGATCATTGCTACGAAAGTATAAGGAAACGATAAGAAGGTGATAGCACCGGCGACAAAACAGAATCTGAATAATAAATAAATTCGTTTCTGTTTAGCAATATTAATATCCAGTTATGACCATATTTTTCAGACTGAAAATTGTTGTAAACTTTTTAACTCTCAAAATAGTTTTAGACTGTTTTGGGGATGTGTCATTCATTGTGCTCTCATAACAATATGCTAAAACTCCTGCATCTTAACGAATTATCGCATTTATGCTTGATTTGGGCTGAAGAAACGACTTTAAGTACCCTTTACACCATGAGTTAATAAACTTAAAGTCGACTCAGAAACTATACACAAGGTTTACACTGGTTTTACGCCACTTTCGCGTAAAGCTATCTTTACATACCTTTACGTAGTACGTAAATTTGACGTAAAGCTTGTAACGTAACTTTACGCAGATTTCCGCAACCTTTAAGTCTCCGTAAATTTGGATTTTCATGCTGTGAATGCGGCTGCGCAGTGTGTTTGTCTGCTGTAGAACGTTAATAACGTTGAGAATTGGCGGGTAAGCCTGCGAGCAGGCTCTTTGCGGTTAAAGAAATAAGGAAAAGAAAAAGCAAAGGAAGTATAAAATAATAAAAATAATCAATTCAAATACTAGTGGTTAATCTATAGAAAGGCTAAAAAAATATCATTGATATTTAGAATAGTTTATGCAGGTACTGTTTAAAAATCTAGAACTAACACCTCATACAAAATTTTAAAATTTCAAAATTTTAAAAGCACTACGCTTTAAGTCATATGAACTTTAAGAGTTCGCTAAAAGATAAAATGTCTTTTGATTCTCTGACCATTTGAAGCAACGCATTTCACAGTTTACTTACTAAAAATATAAAAGATCGATGCATACACTCCAAATTGAATGGAGGAAGTTCAGGCCTTGTGCTAAGCCCGCGTAAATTGTATGTAACATTCTTAAAATTTAAAATAATTGCTAACATAGGGTGCTCCGTGTTCGTACAAGCACTTGTACAACATAGCTAGTGACTGAAATTGCCTACGTTCTTCCAAAGACCCCATGTCAGCTATTTTTAGGAGGTTGTCGTATGACACAGACTTCGGACGGATTCACCCATTTCTTTCCTCACCGTATTGCCAACATTGTCATTATCTTTTTTTTTTTTTCCCTTTTGCAGCTCTCAATTTGACGCAACGCACAAGTGCAGCAGCATTCGATACAAAAATAAAAATCAAGATTCAGCAGGGAGAGTTTGCGGAGGCTCTGGAATTAGTGAATGAATGGCAATTTATTGACCCCGAAGTGAGAGAAAACTTTGATTAACTTTTCAGTCCCTGTTGTCACTTATTAATAAATATATGTACTAGTCTAATACTTGTTTATGGCAAAATAGTATATTATGAAAAAAAAAAAAAATGATTTGAAAATATCCTGTAAGAAGGATATTTCGCTTAGGGAGCACTTAGCTAATTGCTGTACTGAACATGTAGTTCGAAAGGTAAACATTCCTAACGTTTCTTCGATTAATATTTTACTTCGATGAAAGGCTGATGCTCAAAACGTCAGCTCTACGACTATTAATTCACGTCTTTTAAGTAAATCATCTCTAAGTTGGTAATTAGCTAGTTTCTTGCTTTACTTTCCCGCCGACGAAGCACAACAGTTTGTTTAGAGCCTAATAGCTCTTGTTCTCAGTAACTGAAGTCACAGACAGCTAAATCGTACAATTCATAAAATTGTTGTCTCTTCTAGGCTTTTTTAGTGTACCTTTATTTCTTTGCTATGGTTATGCAGACTCTCTCAGGGCAATGTATGCAGCCTTTTTTAAATTTATTTTTATTTTTTTCTTAAAAGAATACAGACCTCGACATGATTGAAAGGCAAATTAGTCAAAAATTGCTGGCGGCGCAACCTAGGAGTGGAACAGCGGAGATGAACCGATGTCAATCGGTAAGTTAAAACTAACCTGGACAAAAATAAGCTACTACATAGCTGTGAATCTCATATTCACAGCGTGAACTTGTCTCTGTTGTAAGAGACTGTTTTGAAGAGCACGATGGGAACGAATCAAGGCTGTTCGTTGTTAGGTTGCTTTCGATGTTGCATGCGACACAACACAGGACTTGTCAATAGTCGTGCAACAATGTCACTTCACGAGGTTTTATGAAACTGGGCTGAGAAGTTATAATGGCGTTATAAAGGACCTGAAATTTTGGAGTGGGAAATAAGCTTTCATCGATATCTTAACTGAGAACTGATAAACTGCTTACTGTTACACTGACAACTGACTAGTCCTTCAATTTTTAAGTAAAACTAACCATCCAAAACCCTTTATGATTTTATTCTTACTAGTGTGTGCTAAACGTTGTCAGAAAGTTGTTGTTTAAGTCTCCCGTCACATTCAGAAGTGAAAGAGCGTTTTACCTTTTCAGCTTTCCGATGTGTCATGTGGCCATGAATCAGGTCATGAAATGACAACGAAAAAAGGACTCAACCAAGCCTGGAGTCAAAGCGGCAACGCGAAGGTGAGCAAACTCGCAAATGTTTTATTTCCATTACATGGGCCAAAGACAGCAAAAGAAGCCGATATCTGCAAATGGAACTCGCCTTAAAGTTAAATGATAACTTTACAGCACGTAACTGTCGACTACAAAGGTCCTTAATGGGACACTAATGTAATGCAGTGAATTATCTGAGTTTTATCCTTTTAAAAACACGTTGTCGTTTCCCCTCCCCACCCAATACAATGTTGAAAATCAGGAGAAATTGCATGTGCTAGTTTTCAACATTGTATATGGAGTAGGGGGATGTAGGCAGGTGTAGAGGTATCCGCGTCCGGCGTGTATGCAGGAGCGCCAAAAGTGCAAATTTGTTCGAAGACTTTTGTCCATGATTGTAGATTCACTTGACAAAATACGAAATTACGAATGAATTAAGCTTCCCGTGTGTATTAGGAAAAAGACGATATTGATTTGTTACATTTGTTACATTTGTATATTTTAAAGCCAAAGAATAAGAAAGAACTACAACGAGAAGAGCGGCAGAGAGAAAAGGTAAATATTTATCCCGTTATATCACTATACAAAGCAAATAACGAAATAGAATTTGGCATTCCGCTTATGTAGTGTCAAAAAAAAAAAAAAACTGACAAACGGAAATCTACGTCTTTAAAAAAAAGCACCCAACATTTGGAAACGGATAATTATGATAATAATCGTACTTCGAGTGTAGTTGCCTGCGAATCTTTGTTGACTTCGTTTTGGATTGCTTCGTCCTTACAAAATACATTTGCAGTGAGTCGCCGGCCCAAAGAACTGAAAAAAACATGGACCTAAGCAACGAAACTGCAAAACCCAATGTTCCGGTGCCATCCAAATACCAGCGTTCTACGGCAAAAGAAATAATAACGACAATATAGCGGCTGTTAGCGCTCTTTTCCATCTCTATTTTCTGTGGTATTGAAAGCCGGAGTGGATTAGCAGTGAAAGTTTTGAAGAGAATTTAAGGTACCTGCCCTCTCCAACTATCACAACGTTTTCATATACAATAAAAAGTGTTATTTATTGCTTTCAGGAATGCCAAGAGATAGCTCGTGAATTGGAAGAGAGGCGAAAGCAGGAAGAAATTAAAAGCAAGAAGGTACGTGTTTGATAACGTATTGTAGATGAATTAAAATAACGTTCTAAAACATTGGTATACATTGCTCGACCATTACAAAGTTTAATAATCTTAATTATTTCATGAGCACCTGACTAGCCTAGCTTATAGTTGTTTTGGCTGCCCTGCTACCGACTTCCCGTTGAAAAAATTTATATTGTAAATAAATCACACTATTCGAGGAACAAATACATTATTGTTTTGTTGTCAACAAACGTTTAAACCACCGGATGTGGGAGGTTCCCTTTATATGGCTATATATAAGTATGTGTAGCTCTAAAGTGTATAGTTTTTGTGCTGTTTTGGTCTGCCGGGAAAGGGTATAGTTGACCATTTTGGTCTGACAGAGGGTATGTTTTTCACTCTGGCTTGGCATTGGGTATTTTGTTCACAAGGAGCTAATTTTTTTAACCATTGACATTGGCAAATTTAAAGCCCTCCTAAAATGTTCATGCCAGTAAATGAAAGCCATTTTTGGTTAGCTGTGGTCATATATTAGAGCTGTG